ACTTAAGTGTCATGTGTAAGAAGACATTTTACGATGCAGCAGTCTGTCTGTGTTTCATCCCTTAGCAGCAAAAACTGACTGAACTGTGAAATCATGCTCATGCGTTTTTTTTTCCAAAGATTAACATAAAAATACCGGAGGTACTATAAATGGGTATTATTGAATATACGTGTTTGCAGCCCCTTTGGGATTTCATGAAGCTGCTGCATATGCTTCGAAGACAGTGCTATTTAAACATCTGAATCTTTGTTACTAGAAGCATATATTTAAAAAAAACAAAGATTTCTGATGACTTCAATCTTCGTAAAATTCCAGGGTTTTTGGTCTGGCAACAATTTCCAGTTTCTGTGGGGTTTTTCGTGTTGTTGTAATGGTTGTAGTCTCAGCGATACTTGGAATTATTGCTGCTGGTGTTCTGACAGCAGAAGAAGCCAGAGAAAGCGATTCAAAAAAGACCGACAGTGAGTGCTTCAAATTTTTTTCGTTACAAAATTCATGCAGTTGTTAAATGTTGTAGAAATTTTAAAGATACAAACAATGAATGTCTCTGGCTAGGAGGAGATTGGAAGAGGCTGGGGAGCCTGAAATCGTTTATGCGTTAACATATGCAGTTCACGAAAGCATCAGATTACAGGTAACATGCCCTTACCTGCACCTGGTAGCGGGTCGCATTTACACATTCTAGATTGGCTAGTTACTTGTATAAGATGTTGCTCGTTACCTGTATAAGACGCTGCTCGCTACTTGCATCGTTGGGGATTGTACGTTACTCGAGCATTACACGAGCAACACTGGGTGGTTACTTGTATCAGTTGCTGTTACACGAGCATTGTTGACATGTTACGTGTAATCTGATTTTTTCGTGTTTGTTTGGCATTGCTGGCTCACCACCGTAGAGAGGAGGAACACAGTCGAATTTTGATAATTAATGAAAACACATTGGAAGTAGTGCTATTTATATCTCGCAGATAAGCAAGCCTGTATGTAAAGTAACTTGGAAACTTGTCTGTGTTTCATCCCTGAGCTGTAAACGCAGTGACGACAGAATCGATGCGAATTGAGCTGGGAATCATCAATACAGTGCCCCATTTCGCTATGTCAGAATTTTTCTAGTGGTTTAATCGTTGTTGCTTCGTCTTGTAATTAGCATGCTAAATGGTCTTGACGTTCGTTTTGTGTCCTACAAAAACCACCAGCTCGATGGTTCTTCCAAGCAAAGCACTTAGCAAGGCTTTCGTTATCTCCAAAAAGCCTTACTGTGTGTTGAACTTTTTCCACGTCGTCTTGAATTTTGCGATTTCTGGAAAATTTTGTGAAATATAATAAAAAAAAATTTCAGTGATTCGTAATCTTTTATGCATTTTTTAAAGGTGTTACTTTGGATGACGATTCAAAAAAACCGGAGCGATTGTCCGCTGAAGTTGGTAATGAAAAAACACTTGAACAAGCATTATCTGGCGATTTTTACGTACAAGTACCAATTCTTCTTTTTTTTTGCCTCATATAGCACTTTTTTTACTTTTCTATCAAATTTTTCCATAATTTTTCATTATTTTTTGAAATTTCTTAGTTTCGTTTCCTGTTTTCTCCCCTGTATAAAACTTGTTTTTTAACTTTTCCATCAAATTTTCCCAAGTTTTTTCATTATTTATTTGAAATATCTCAATAAATTTCATAATTTTCAGGCTGTTCTTGGACTTTGCGCCCTGGAATTTGCTGCTCGTCATGACTTTGTCGCTGTATTCGTCTTTTTCGTTGCTTTTTTCACTGTGCTTAGAAAAATTGGTAAGTGTTTGGGGACATTTGTCGAAACTTGAAAAGTTGTTGTTTAGTTCTGTGGTCTGTTGTAAGCCTTTGTACTTGTTACTGTAGCTAATGAAGAAAGAGCTGCTCAACAGAACTGACGAAGAAAGTC